ACACACACACACACACACACACACACACACACACACACACACACACACACACACACACACACACACACACACACACACACACACACACACACACACACAGACACACATAAATTTGTGCATGCACCATCCCACTATCCATCAAAGAGTAGCCATCAAAGTCGTATTTTCAAAAACATATTTATGCTTCTGTGTAATGTCAGGTCAGATAAGGGTCGTGTTAAATTTGTAGTGTACGGATGTGAGCTGTCAGTGACAAATGTTAGTAGTCAGCAGAGAGTTTGCACGCATTACAACTATACATCCAGCCATTCATGCTTCTGCAGCTAGATAGTGCTTCATGGTTAAGTAACTGTAGTTATCTATTGTAAACCAACAATATCATAAACATCTATAATATCATGGTATGGTATGGTAAGATACATATTAAACTCAAGTTCAAATATTAGATGATACCGACAAAATTGCGAGAATTGTTGTCAGATTTCTCATGGTGGCTTCATTGGCGTTGTTCGCAGTGAAGCCTCAGTTTGTGTCTCACCCAAGAGATCAAGACATCCAGTTCGGGGCAACTGTCTACCTGGAGTGCCGAGCCACAGGCGTTCCTGACCCACAGATCATCTGGTTGCATAATAGGTGAGGGAGATCAGGTTCAGTTACTTCACAACAGTTGAGAGGGCAGGAATTTTTTCCCATCGTGACATGTAGATGAGACTAATGGTTTTAAAGTAATTAGTAGAAACTTTTCCTTAGCAGTGTTAGATAAGGCGGATTATTCAGATATTCAGTTGTTCATTACTAGGTGATAAGAGTGAAGAATTTCTTTCGATTGCTGGTAGAGGAAGGCTGAATGGCACCAGCAGTTCCCAGACATGCTTCTATACCTTATGATGGTCTCTGCAGTGTGGAGATTGACCCGAGCAACCTGAACGAGTTCAGCAGGTTTCGTATCAACGATGATGGCACACTAATGATCCAGCATGCACAGGACTCCGACCAGGGTCTGTACGGGTGTACGGCCAGCAACAGTGCCGGCTACGTACGCTCGGACACAGCAGAGGTGCGATACGTCAACGGTCCAGGTGAGGAAAGGCAATCGTACAGGATAGTGCAGCAGCATAAAGCATGACACCTCATTCCAGCAAAGAGTGACACCTTAGTGAAACAACTTAAACTCAGTAGCACTGTTCCCACATATCAGCACTCATATGCCTACGCATGGACATTGCAGCACGACCGACCATCGTTAGACTGCCGGACCACCAGGAAACTCGTGTAGGTGAGACCGTCAGCCTTGAGTGTGTGGCTGATGGGAGCCCCCGGCCGCAGATCGTGTGGACCAAGGACAGCGCAGCGTTACCGAACCTTGATAAGTACCGGGTGGACCAGCAAACAGGGACACTCGAGATTAGGTATGATGCTGCACGTGTCCCAAAGCAGATGTACTAACGCTTATATGTACTAAACTGTTCACAGCATATAGAGATTCCTACTCTCTGAATGATCTTGTCTACAGCCAGACTTTTGAGCAGATTCGATCCACAAATCTGTTCTAATATTCTTTCACTAACCCTAAAGTTTGTTTGTGAAGATCTATGATTCGTAAGTTGTTGATATTAGTAGCTGCAGCTATAATGGTGAATGTACTCGGCCTATGTTGAGCGAGGAGTTGACATGGTGTGGCGTGTCGACAGGTTTGTACGCCCTGAAGACCATGGTCTCTACCGCTGTTCAGCAACGAATGAGTATGGCAGCGTGTCAGCTAGTGCCCATGTGCGTGTGTTCTGTGAGTATAATTAGGTGGCATGAACACGTTTGAGCACCCTACAATTGCCATTGTTGAAGTTGCTTTTTGTTTACTTTTGCAGAATTGAAATATTATGAGTCTTGGTGTGATATATGAACTGACGTTAATCAGAAAAGGATTAGATAGTAGAGAGTATCCTCCAAAGAATCATTAGTTCAATATAATCCCATTAATTCATAAATTTTAATTTTATTTATTATTTTATAATAATATGAAATAAACAAGAAAAGAAATGTTCTTTGTTAAGTTATTTTAAGTGTAAGTAAATATTGGATTTTTGGTCATTATATATTAGTTTATTTTGTTATGATAATTTTTCTCATGTCTGTTTGCTTCAGCTCCTCCATTGCTGGTAGAGGAGCCAGAGAATGCTCAGCATCTTCAGGGAGAGATAGGAGAATTCAGATGCTTAGCTGAGGGTTATCCCACTCCGGCTATCAGCTGGTTCTTTAATGGTGTGTCCTAATAAATGTTTAAACATCAGTTGTAGTCATAGAGAATAAGTATCTATAATACATGAATGCCAAGTTTGTAGTGTGGTGTATTAATAAATCATAATTGGTCAAATTCAAAAGATTTAGTAGATATACCTGATTGTTACCTTATTGGCACATTTCTTACATGTTCGTTAGATTGTTCTTTAAGATTATCAAATAATTTAGACGTGTAAGTACATCTTTTAGTAGTTAATAGTCATAATTATTATTCTTAATAATATTATTGAGTTATTCATAAACAAATTCTCAAAAATTCGATGATACGGGGTTTGTAGCAGGTCTTCCAAAGTCTTATAAGTACTTATTTTGCCAAAAATAAGATAAGGGCTCTTATTAGTACTTATTTTTGGTGAAATCTTAGAAAAGTACGTAATAGTCCTTATTTTTCAACTTACTGTTCTCGACTTAAAGTAAGAATTGTTGTATATATAATACGGAATAATTAAATCTGCTGTTCAATTGTGTATATAAATATTATTAGTGTACTTTAATAGTTGGTGATCTATCAGAAATCGCGTAAAAAAGTCTTATTTTGGCATCCAGAAAGGGTCTTATAAGTCCTTATTTTAACATGTGTCTTACTACTATGAACCCTGTGATATCGTTTGTAGTGGGAGTATCACACAAAACGACTGTAGTGTGTCTTCGAAGCATAGCTCATTGCTGCATGCGGTTTGTCTGTTCATAGGAAATCCAATCCGGGAGGATAATCCCCGATATGATTTCATCTCGGGAGGGACAACGCTGCGGCTAGCACTGCTCACGCTGGGAGACACTGGTTCATACGAGTGCAATGCACTCAACAACTTGGGCAACATGAGGGCGTCGGCTCGTCTCATTGTCCGACCAAAGTGTGAGTCAGCGAGCGTGTATATGCTGCCCCCCGTAGAGTGAAGAGCGAGTCTGTTAATGGGTATATGCTCCATAACAGTAATTGAGGTGTGAGTCGGTGACCATGTTTATGTTACGTGGCATGGAGCAGTGTGAGTTTATGAATGTGTATATGCTTCATGACATAGTGCAGACTTTAAGCCAGTGATTGTGTGTATGCTCAATGGATTAACTAAAAAAAATTGTTAGGCAACGTATACAGGCATCATCACATTGGTTTCAACCTGATCAAGCAAAGTTGATGATATTTCTTATGGTATTTATTTTTTCGCAAAAAAATAATACTTGAAATATACCATTTTTAATAGCAAAGTAATTCTTGACCTTTTATTTCTTCAGTGAGGCCAGAGTTCATAATCACACCAAATGACGTGTCAACCCGACCGCTAGCTGATGTGACTTTACCCTGCGCTGCCAGGGGTGTGCCCCAGCCCAATGTTCGCTGGTTGATGGGTGAACACTTACTGCGTGTAGGAGAGAAATACAGGTAGTATGTCCAGTTGTAGGTACTCTACTACGTTTGTTTATATACAGATGTATTTAACTATGGAGAAGTAAATTTACATACAGGTACATCTACTAGCTTACATATATCTAAGCTAACAGTAACACGTTGTGGATGTGTTATTTGTTAGTTTGTTAAATGATAGGTTATTAAGTGGTAGGCCTATGCCTGTGTCTAGTGAGTCTGCTGACGTCTACATCTGTTAATTACAGGATGAGTCCAGAAGGGTATCTAACTATAATGAACGTAAGCAAGGCTGACGAGGGTCACTATTTCTGTGCTGCTGAAAACACAGAGGGCTATGCCGTCGATGATGCTTGGCTCACAATCACTGGTATAAATTATTAATGTGTGCAACTGATGTGTATAACGTGTAGGGCACCAACCTATTTAGGCTACCACACTTATTATTTTGATTGCATCGTTCATTTATTGTTTGTATTTGTATAGTGTTTCCTTCCTTCATAGGCTGATTTCCTGTGTTTTGTTTACAGACCTATATGTTGCGGATTCCAATAGTGTCGTTCCCATGCTTGTATGTTCATTATCACCGAGCTCAATCATGCAGCATTCCCGTGTCGTTTACTCATACATGCTGGCTCACGTGGCTCCCCACTCACGCATCCAGTGTTGCCACGGTGACATGCTTGTCATCTGCGGACACTCAATCCCGCGTCATCCCACCTGATACAATCAATGTTCCCATGGTAACGTGCTTGTCATTTGCAGTCCCGCGTCTCCCCACTCGTGCCTCGAGTGCTGCCATGGTAACGTGCTTGTCATTCGGTGGCACCAGCTCACATTTCTTCGCACTCGCAGTTACCACGGCGACGCGTTTGTCATTCGCAGACACGGGCTCGCGCTTTGCCGGCGACAACTTTGTGATCAACTCGGTCGAGGAGGCGGTCGCGACGGTCGACCGCGCGATCAACAACACGCTGCGCTACGTGTTCGACACAACGCAGCGCCGCTCGCCGCACGACCTGCTGCGTCTCGCACGCTTCCCGACGTCCGGCGCACTGCGGCTCGGACGCGCCGCCGAGATCTTTGAGCGCACCCTGGCAATGATCGAGAGCCAGGTGTCGAACGGCGCCCAGTTCACTCTGAACGGATCCGGTGCGTGCGTGTTAGCTGCTCACGCGAGCCTCGCGCTGGTCGACAGCGGTGCTATAGTCAGAGATGCTACATTTCCGGATTTTACCGGAAATCCGGATTTTTTTCAAAATGTAAAAAGTTCCGGAAAAATGCGATTGAAAAATATTGAATATTTTTCAGAAAATGGTGTTCCAAATGGGCTTTCTTAAGTGTTTTGAAAATACTAAAACCCAGGAGCTTCTAAAACCCGTGACGCGCTCCGCTCGCTACGCTTTTATTGGTCACTACTTAACAGTTCAGGATTTTTTGGAACCACCCTGTAGCATCTCTGTATAGTAGTAGTAACTGTAGCCTAGCAGTAATGATAGATGATGATTTCTTAGTTCTGGTAATATTTTTTAACGTGGTTTTTGTGTTTCGTAGGCATATACGAAGACGCATATCATCACCTTTGCTCACTACACGGCTCTTGTTTTGCCATTTTTTTATACTAGATTTAGCTACCCTCTGTACTAAATTGGACATTACATCAAAAGAACACTTACTAAGTGGTCTTAATATAATATAATAATACATAATTGTAACATATTCAACATAATCCATGCGTAACAGATAAGCAGTTCAGATCGTCATGACACAGAATCTACTTGGTTGCAGAATTTACATATGAGCAGCTGGTGTCGCCATCTACACTCAATCTGATAGCCAACTTGTCTGGATGTACAGCCCACCAGCGTGTAGCCAACTGCTCCGACATGTGCTTTCACAAGAAGTACCGCTCGTTTGACGGCATATGTAATAATCTACAGCACTCGATGTGGGGTGCCTCGCTGACTGCATTCACGCGCTTGCTACCACCTGTATATGAGAACGGTTTTAACACTCCTATCGGTAAGCGGGCATGTTAGATATACGAATGTATGCGTTGTAGTGACAAAATAACGGGATACATTTTCTACTTGTGAGTTTCATGAGAGCCTGCTTCAACACACAGTGCTTCTAACCCAGCCCTAACTTGCGATTCTTCTTCTGTCATTCACTTGATCTTTTTCCCAGACTTCCTCCATCATCCACTCCAGCCTGCTATGCCACTTCGTCCAGCTAATAAATTTGCTGAGAGTAAAATGTCTCTGTTTCTATATTCTGTAAGCTGTTTTAATTTTCGTAAACGAAGGGGTGATGATACACGTAGCACAGTCCGTTGCATGTAGCGCAGAATACACGGTGTGTGAAGTGCGATGATTCTTCCAGGTTGGGATCTGAACAAGAGGGTTTCCGGATTCCAGAAACCAGCGGCGAGGACGGTGTCATCACGTATCGCTGGCACACGTGCAGTAACCGCCGATGAAGAGTAACTGTTGCCCTACACATCTAACTAGTTTACATTACTTACATAAATTACAGTTTAGTTATAGTTGAATTGATTTACTTTCAATACCTAGATGAGGAATTACCCTTGTTATATCCTACCGTTTGGCTTTCTTACCTGGGAACCTGCTAAACAGGTTATCTAAGGTTATGTGTTGAAATACATTGTGACTACATCATATGGCAAATTATTCAACAACATCTTCGATAACTGATCAAGACTATCAAGAGACACAGCTTACAAGCCATATTGATATGCAAATGTAAATGTATGCATTTAAGCAGACAATATTGTTTTCATTATAGCCTACCACTACCTGCCAACTGTTAACTCGTTAATTATGATTAATCGTGCTGCGTTGTTTTCAGCTTCACACACATGCTGATGACCTGGGGTCAGTTCCTGGACCACGACATTGACTTGGCTGCCGGCGCAGTCAGTCGCGAGGCCTTCACGAGTGGTGAACTCTGTGAGGATATCTGTCGGGTATGATTGCTACTAAACCCATTCGTACTTCTGTTATTTGCTCTCTTCCTTCACGTAGCACGACTGGCTCATGAAATCTAATTTTCTGATTACCATATTTACTAGCGGGCCATCTCTCTCAAATCCCAGCCTGCTAGTGACATGGTGGTAGTGATTCTGTATGCCTCGGAGGTCACTTCAGTTTTTCCATGCCTGCTATAGTCTAACACTGATAACGCAATTGACCTAACCACGTATAATTCGGGAGATCGTGCATCATCAGTCTAATGTAGGGAAGGATTGTTGACAGGCAAAGATGGTCGAAGGCGTAGTGCATGATGTAAATAGGTTTATTCCACATATACAATATAAGTTCTGACATGCATAAGCGCAACCTGCTAACATCGCCGTTGATCCCGCGCAGAACGAGCCGCCGTGCTTCCCCATCATGGTGCCGCGCGACGACTCGCGCACGCACCACCAGGGCCACTGCATGGAGTTTGTGCGCTCGAGCGCCGTGTGCGGCTCAGGCATGTCGTCGATCTTCTTCAACGCCGTGACGCCGCGCGAGCAGATCAACATGCTCACGTCGTTCATCGACGCGTCGAACGTCTACGGCAGCCAGAGGGCGCTGGCCGACGAGCTGCGCGACGTGACGGGTGAGCGCGGGCTGCTGCGCATGGGCGACACGCTCGACTCGGGCCGCGCGTACCTACCCTTCAACGCGCGCTTCCCCGTCGACTGCCAGCGCGACGAGCACGCCAGCAACATCCCGTGCTTCCTCGCCGGCGACTTCCGCGCGAACGAGAACGTCGCGCTGACGACGATGCACACGATCTGGGCGCGTGAGCACAACCGCATCGCGACGAGCCTGCTCGCGCTCAACCCGCACTGGGACGGCGACGCCCTCTACCACGAGTCGCGCAAGATCGTCGGCGCGATGGTAGGTTCCGCAGCGCTTCGGCGATCGGTGTATGCGAATACTAGCAATAAGCATATGCACAGCTCGTATCCTCATATTATATCCTATGCACATATGTGTGTATGTTTATTATATATATATATGTATAGTTATTTATTCATGATAATTTTCATGATATATATATTTTCCAGCTCAGAAGACAGTATAAGACTTATAAGGTGCATAGGGTGCAGCCAGAAGTTTTTGCATATAGATTCTCATTAGATAACGAGTTATTCTATATTGTCTGTGATGTAGGTGATTTTTTTACGTCGAATTAATTTCAGCGTCGCGCTATTGCGTCGGGTGCGCGGACGCAGTGTGAGGTGATGTTCTCAGTGAATGAACCGCAACGCCGTTCCTTCTTGCAGGTGCAGCACATCACCTACTCCCGCTGGTTACCGAAGGTGCTCGGCGAGCGCGGCATGGCGACTCTCGGCGCGTACACCGGCTACGACCCGAGCGTGAACCCGAGCATCGCGAACGTGTTTGCAACGGCCGCGTTCCGCTTCGGCCATGGCCTCGTCAATCCCATCATGTACCGGCTCAACTCCAGCTTCCAGCCGATCGCCGAGGGCAACCTGCCGCTGCACAAGGCCTTCTTCTCGCCGCACAGGCTCGTCGACGAGGGCGGAGTCGATCCGCTGCTCAGGGGGCTGTTTGGCGTCGCGGCGAAGCTCTTTCAGCCAGGTGCGTGCGCGCGTGTTTTGTCTCGCTCGCTCACTCGTTCCCGCGCCCACTCATTCATTCACTCGATTACTCACTCCCTCAATCACTCATTTCACTCACTCACTCAATCACCCACTCACTCACTCACCCACTCATCAACTCACTCACCCACCCATCAACTCACTCACCCACCCATCAACTCACTCACCCACCCATCAACTCACTCACCTACCCTCTCACACACTCAGTCACTCACTCACTCACTCACCCATTCACCCACCCACACACTCACTCACCTACCCTCTCACTTACACACCCATTCACCTACCCACTCACACACCGAGTTATTCAAACCCACTCTCACACTCACACACTCCTCACTCACTCACTTACCGTGATGCTTGCCAGATAGCTCAGCATCCGTGTCGCGGTCCGTTGCAGATCAGATGATGAACACGGAGCTGATCGACCGGCTGTTTGAGATGGTGCATGAAGTGGCGCTGGATCTCGGCGCGCTCAACGTGCAGCGCGGCCGCGACCACGGCCTGCCGAGCTACAACGCGTGGCGCGAGTACTGCGGCCTCGCTCCCGCGCGCACCTTCCACGAGCTGCGCCGCGAGATCAGCAGCCGCGAGGTGATCAACAAACTGCAGACGGTCTACGGACACCCGGGTGAGCGTGTGTCATGCGACGACGCGTGTGTGCTGTGTCGTCGCTGCTGATGCGGTTGTTACCCTGTTGACGTATACGCAGGGGTGTCTCATGTCCTGCACGTGTGTCGCAGCATATGTGTTGCCACCAGAATTGCAATTATTACGTCCAGATGCTAAAGAAAATCCATTCTAACATGCGTGAAATGCAGATGTAGTAAAGGATAATCGCGCTAGTTATAAATTTTAGAATGTTCCTCTGTGTCAATCTGCAGCATAGCCAAGTACATGAGTAATATAATATGTATACGATGTAAGGTATATACCATCGTAAAATTGTGGCATAAACGGATAGCGTTTGTTCTTGCAATTGCTGCGTGAATGGATCAGTCGATACTGTGTGAGGTAACATCATATATATGGTATGATAGTCGACATTAGTAGCAATTATCAGCTACAATATTTCCTAACTTACAGTGCAGCATTTGCAATAATGTAAGCATGAACGTCATTAGGTTGTCAACATCAATTACATAACAGTTACATTGAAACGAAATTTGCCTGGAATTGCAAACTATGGAAATAACGTTACTCTGTAAAATTTAGTTTAGGAAAAGGGATTTCCGATTAATGTGCAAAATAAAAATAACTGCATGAAGTAAATGATCATTGGTGGTTTCTAATGTGGCCTTTGTTCAATTTCAGATAACATTGATGTATTCATCGGCGGGATGAGTGAGGATAAAGTAGAAGGTGCTCGTATGGGCCCAACGTTTATGTGTATCATAGCCGACCAGTTCAAACGTCTGCGAGATGGAGATAGGTGCATAGTTCCTACGTGTTGCCTTAATAGAAAAATTCCCTAAATGACATAAGACAAGTCCTAAAGGTTGAACATTACAGCTCAAGCCATGAACCTATTTAAATTGAAAATCACTTCATTCATTAGGCATTGGTTCACTGTAAAGAGTGTATGAGTTAATTATCATAGAATGATTAAAAGGTTACGGGCTTATCGTATTCTATTCCTGGTTTACTCTATAAAGAAGTTTAACATTCCATTGAAAATTTGTACTATAACAAATATTTGCAGGAAAGGATGACTTATGAATACAGGTTATCAGTTGTCATTCAGTTACGTGAGACTATGAGAGTAATTGTGTTTCTGTGAGAGCCACGTATACCTGTGGCGGGAACACTATGACTGAAACTCACTGGAATGTTCACCTTGTCCACTACTATTAATATATATTAATTCCGGTGGTATTCAGAGTTCTCCAAGAGCACTTATAGCCTGGCGGCCCGCCAGGCTATCGTCGAGCCTCGTCATTCTAAAATGCACCCGCCACTCTAAATATCATAGCCCCCAGACCACCCTAGCACGCAAACCGCCTTCGGCGATTTGCAACCAGGACCGTAAAGGCAGCACCCGCCATGCTATAATGAAAAAGCTTGGAGAACCCTGGTATTATAAGGACTGACTTCAGCTTCTCTCACTAGATTCTGGTACGAGAATCCGGGTGTATTCTCTCCAGGACAGCTGACTGCTATCAAACAAGCGAGCTTGGCCAGAGTTATCTGTGACAACAGTGAAAGTATCGACAGGTTTGTAATAAGCACACTTATGTGTGCTTGTGTTGGTTCTGTATCACTAAATAAACGTTGACTATTGTTATGTAGCTATCAATGTCTTCACAGTGTAGCATTGGAAAACAACACAATTCAATATGGTAGCATATTGTGTGTGTGTCTGTGTGTGCGTGCGTGCGTGCGTGCGTGCGTGCGTGCGTGTGTATGCATGTCTGTGTGTTGTGATATTATTTATATAGTAGCTTATTGGTATATTAAACTTTGTTGTGTTTTGTATGCAGGGTGCAGAAGGACGTGTTTGTGAATGTGGAATACCCACAGGGCTACGAAAGCTGTTCCACTGATATACCACATGTTGACCTCAGCCTCTGGGTTGAATGCTGCCAGGGTACTGCATTGTCCGACCATTTTTTAAATTTAAAAGACTGCATATGTAAACACAACATAGTATTTATCCTCTGTAATACGCTAATAGTTGGGGAAGTTATAAGTGGAGTTTCTCCATTGGCACTTGCATCTTGGCATGCTGTGTTAGCAACAGGTTAGATGAGTTCCTGATACTTCCAAAAGCATTTGTTGTTGTAACAGGATGTGCTCCGATTAGTGGAATTTATATCGCATTGATTAGATCAGTAGGTTTATTAGTTTGCAGTTTTCTGACTGGTGAGGTTGAAGAGATGCCATCATTGGGTATGTGAACTGGTGATTAGTATTTGGTAATCGTCTCGTGTCGATGTGTGTTGCAGACTGCAGCACATTGGGAGCGTCCGAATCGTTTGTCGACCACCTGGGACGCAGCAAGCGCTCTGAGTTCAGCTACCCTGAGGACCGCCCTCAACGAGACCAGACTCAGCAGCTGCATGGCGCACCCATTGCCCTGATCGTCGACACTGAGGGTGAGAAGACCAGCGCACCGTAACAAACCCTAATATATTCGCTAATTATATATATTTTAATGATTGATGTCACAAACGTATTCCGTTTCTATTCTGATTACAACAGCCCAGGAGCACATGGACATAATGGAAGATAGGATCGAAGGACTTGAGACATTGGTGGAAACTATGACGAAAACTCTATACAAATTTAACCGAAAGGTAACCTAGCAATACTGTTAACGATTCTATTGTATAATGCAGGCACAGAGAATTGCATCAGATATTCGAAATAAAGTGATCGTGTTGCGTGCTTGGTAGGTCAAATGCTTATGGCGAGGTAAGACATTAATGGTGCCAATGTTACCAATTCAGATGAGGAAAATGGAGGCACACATGAGTGGGAAGAATTGTGTTGATGCTGATAAACAGCAGAGGAACAACGGAGAAGCTTGGATGGAGGGCAACTGTAGCAAGTGCATCTGCAAGGTATGTGCGTTTACTGGCATCTGCCTCTATTTGTAGATGGAAAGTCTTTTCTCCATTCTGTTGCTCATGTTTGTTGAATGCCTGTGTATCAGTCCCACTCACTCTTTATGTTTTCTTCTTCTTCAGAAGTTTATGAAGCACTGCAAAGAAGTATGTTGAACCTAGCTGTCGAGTCTAGTTTACTTCCACCTACAACATGCATACTTGTCATTGGCTGCACACTGTTCAATACGCGAGTCCAGACGAGAGACACATCCGTGAGATGTAGCGCAATGGCAAAAGGAACTATTCACGTGACACATACAGAAAAGGCCTCTATTGCTCGAAGTGTTGTATGTGTAGTGCTCAGTGATTTCTGTAATGCGCTCTCGAGTTCAATTCGTGTAATGTGTTGATGTTCACGACGTGTGCATCGTCCTCACCAGCACACAACATTATTTAAATCAATAGTTTCGTTATTTTTGCATTTGTCAATTAAAATAGTCGATTAGTGTGCGTATTTGAGTATTTGCGAGCATTGCCTATACTGTAAACAAAATCAATAGTTCTTGTGGTTTCAGTGACTTTAGTAGATCTGCTGACGTTTTAGTCACCTCTATGTGGCAAAAACGCTGGGAAGTTGCCTAGCATATTTGGTACCTGAGTTTATGTGTAACGTTTATGCGATCGCGTTGTGGAAAGACTAGCAGATTGCAGCTTCTTGAGAATTCACTTGTCAGCACTGGAACTGTGCCTAAACATTTAATGTATGTTCACCCCTTTCCTGTAAAAAATTATGTTCGTTGGCCAATGTGTGTGTTTTTCTGTGATGGGTATATTTTGTAAAAAAAAAAACTTGATGAGAAAAGGCATTTAGAGTAATAGACGCAGTAAAGCCAGCTTTGCATTCATGTTAGTACCATGATGCATTTCAGGTGGATGCTTGCTGATGCGTAACAAATTCATAATACTAAATAATATATGATTACGTATGATTACAATTACGAGCTACAACTTATATCATTCATTGCTGGAAAATCATATGCATAACATACGAAAGAAGTTTTATAGTTGGCGCTATTATATATTTGGTTGTACTTGCTTTTCAGTTATGGCCTCCTATTTATTCTCATTCACTCGGTATGTCGTAGGATTGTTGCTGGTGCTGTAATGTTTTTTTTTAAATTGGACTCGAATTGTGTGATGGACAAGCGCAATATTAAACTTAAAGTATTCTGCTTTTACCATTATGTTTCCTCAGACTGTATCCTATCGAATATACTTGCAGCGATGTATCAGTCGTTATAGACTATTGTGCTGTTACTTGTTTTATTATATCCCATAGTTATCCCACTTACTCCATGTGGATTTCTTAAGTGTTTTGTGTAACCTCCATGCATTGTTGTGCACGTTAAATTTATGTCCTATGAGAACCGTCTACCCAAACTGCACGACAGATGGCGCTCTCGCTCATGGGCTCAATCTACGGTACGGTGGTATCAGGAGTAAGATAATATAGGATTACAGGATATAATCCTATATTGTCTTACTCCTGGTGGTATCCTGAGTGAGCGAAGGGGCACTGCATGCAGTTTGCCGTCTCTACCAGCCCGTTCATTAGTCAACCCGCCGCTGGAGGGCGTTGGCACATCATATTCCCAGGGCATGATGCCCACGACGTTCTAGATGGCTATCACACTCCCACCTCGGGCCAAATCGTACCCCGGGCTGTGAGAGAGAAAGCAAATTGGATGAAATCATGTCCCCGGCCTTCATCGAAGAATTTAATGGACATTCACACAACCATACTTGAGAACACGTCAAGTCGACCATTTTTAGGATGCATTTACCAGTAGATTGCACCCATAGACAGCAAACCGGAATTAGAACACAAACATTAATCAAAAATACGTATGTAATAACGTTCGTTACGTGTTAATAATGTACGTAATGTGTGTGTGTGTATATGTGTGTGTGTGTGTGTGTGTGTGTGTGCGTGCGTGCGTGCGTGCGTGCGTGCGTGTGTGTGTGTGTGCGTGTGAAAGGGGGTACAATTGCAGGCAGTAAGCGAGTGAAGGAACCAGACAGACAGACAAGCAGGCAGGAAGGCAAGCTGGCACGCGCGCGCTCGCACACACACACGCACACACACACACACACACACACACACACACACATACAGAGAAGAGAGAGGCGAACCCCCACCCACACACATATATATATGTCATTGATTTCTTTCATCGCAGCAATGTAGAATGATTAGATGTTCAATACACAGAAGCTGATCACGATCGATAATCCTCTTTCCCCACATCTACATCCGATTACACTTCCTGGTCAACCTTTGATTTTGTTCGACATTTGTTCAATGACAATCATACTCAGCAGCGATCTCCGGTAAGGCCAAACCCCAACATGCGGCTCCATGCCTCTTGGATAGATGATATCCATGATGATCTATGTAACGATCTTTATATGATTTCTATGATCTTCGTGATAAATAAATCTACTTTAACAGCCTTCATGTGTTTACGTGGCAATGTCGTGGTTTTGCATCTTTTGTATTGTGACATGAAAGCCAGCGGATAATCTTATCTAAAAAAAACTCATTTCGATTTTTCACGAATAACAGAACTGCCAATATATAACGATTATTAGATTTGACGATTGAGCACTACCTCCGTATGATAGGTGTTAACAGGTCGTTCCCTTAATCACAGATTCTAGTCAAGTGATGTCAAATACGCCGCTAACTATTTATTTGCCAGGGTCTTGAAGTTGTTAATCTGGCTTGAGTGCAAATCTGATTCTCACAGTGCATCTACGCCAATGTCTTAGGAAAAATGCTCAATGCAATCAATGAATGTGTTGCTATAAATATGAAGATAACTGAGTAATTAAATAGGTTTACCTACTATTTTGTACCTGTTTACTTATCCATATGATAATAACTTCATGTTAATTTATTAATTATGTGTGTGTGTGTGTGTGTGTGTGTGTGTGTGTGTGTGTGTGTGTGTGTGTGTGTGTGTGTGTGTGTGTCACATATGTCATATAAACAAACAACTCGTTGTTGTCGGAAATGTTGAGTTTGTGTGGTCTTTTTTACCGATATTATATCAGCAGCGAACAAACACAAACTCATGATTATATCCTACAAACTTTCAGCCGTCAGGTAACAGTCTCCAAGAGATTTTTACTCGCTACTACGGAAACTGATGCTCACACTAACGATTACGTTACGCATACAGTTAAACCTGTATAGAACGGTCTCTCAGTGAGAACGACATACTTGTCCATCTAGATAGGTGTCCGTTCTATTCTATCCGATTCTATTCTATCCGTTCTATTCTATTCTATTCTATTCCGTTCATTCTATCTATACACGGCTATCGCAGAATTAACTGTCTTAAAAAAAATCCCAATGTATTTATCCATGACCATATCAGGAATACCTAGAGAAGAAACCTTCTGTGTTTCTGTGCATATCTGCACCAGGTGCATGCACGCGCAAGGTAGCGCATGCGCAAACCCTCTCGGATAGTTTCGTGTCACTGGCGTCATCATTTAATTACGTTAGATTTCTTATTTGCTTTCAGCTCCCGTAGCGTTTGCAGCGCAAAAGAACGCGGAGAACTTTTTCTGAATCAACGTTATATCATATCGTGCACTTGCTAATGATTAGGATTTGAGCAGATGGGTCATTAAGAACCGCGTACTTATATATAGGTCCGCTGAAATGCCGTCGCTGCGAAACACGGTATTCATTGTCGCGATAGTCGTAGTCAGTCAGATTTTCCTGTGCTCGTGCTCCGTAATTATACCTGGTTTGCAATCCACATGTGTGTCTGCACATGAAAACCTCATGCTCGGTGGAATATTCCCAGTTCACGGCTATGGCGCTGGACACCGAGACGACAACGAGTGTGGCGCGCTCAACCCTTACTCTATCGAGTTTGCGTTGGCTATGATATACACCATCGAGCGTCTTAATGCCGACGAGAGAATTCTGCCGAACATCTCACTCGGGTACGTGATATTTGACAGCTGCGGCAAGGACACGATCGGTATGTCGCAGGCGCTGCAATTCGTGACCGTTACCCGCGAACACCATCGAGCTGCTATCGAGAAATGGCGCGACATCGCAGCTGCACAAATCGACTCGACGCGTGCCGGCAACCCAAGAAATAAATCGGAGACGAACGGCCGATCAAATCCACGACAGATGTTGTTTGCAGCTGGTAAGCCTAGAGACCGTGGTGAAGTGAGGGCAACTCGGCAAGTTCATATTGATGAGTCGGGGCAGCTATCGCCAACTGTTGACGCAACCGGCATCGATGATGACATTGCTACTGACGAACATAAGAAGTGCTCGACCAAGGACGTGGTTGGCGTCATCGGACCGATATACAGTGAAACGAGCGAGCTCGTGGCTCCCATACTGGGCGTTCTACAAATACCGCAAGTGAGCCCTTCCTCGGGCAGTGACGACCTAAGCATAACTCGCGAACTTCCGTATTTTCTACGCACGGCGCCGCCGGATATTAACCAGGTTCACGCCATCTTGGCGCTAGTGCAGCGATACGGGTGGAGCTACGTTGCTGTGCTTGCCACCGTCGATGGTAATGGCGAACATCTCGCCCATATCCTCGAGGTTGAAGCAAAGAAGATGTCTATCTGCTTCAGCGTACGTCTGTGGTTAGCAATGGACGTCGGCGGCGAAAATCTGCACCGGTTTAGCGCACAATTACACGCACAAGATGCGAACGTCATCATATCTTTTATACGGCCAGACAAGCTTTATGCCGTGCGGCTGGATCTCGAGCGGATGGGAACACCGACAGATAGATTCGTATGGCTGTATATTATAGAAAGCGCCACACATTACATCGGCAGTCTCGAGCGTGTCTCCGACGGCGCCATCTTTTTACGGACTTGGTCTCCTGTCGATCAGAGTGACTTTTCCAACTGGCTGTCCTCGATGACGTTGGGCAACTATGGGCATATTCGCTGGTTCCGTCAGTACTGGGAAAAAACACAGAACTGTTCGTTTGTTGAAGGTACGTGCACAGAAGACGAAACTGTTGTGATTAGTCATCAGAAACGACTTTTGGAAATCACAGATATCACCTACAATATTAGAGTAGCTGTAACCGCAATTGCTCTGGCACTAGATCAATACATCACTGAAAACCACCATAACATTTCATTATCAACCCTACGCGCTAGCAGTATTTCGGCCCCATTGTTTATGAAGTATCTAAGGAATGTGCATTTCAAGCAAAATTCCAATCAAGAAATTAGATTTGACGGCACTAACAGCATTCCTCCGCATTATAACGTGTACGCAGTTCAAAGCGATGGCGTATTATACAACAGGGTCCTGGTCGGAGAATGGAAAGACGGCGCCCTGCAGATGGACAACAGTCTGATATCATGGGCTCGAGACCCAACGACGCTGCCAAAATCTGTGTGTAGCACTCCATGCCCCCCACGCCATTACCATCAGCATCTTGAGCCGCACTGCTGCTGGGTTTGCGAACGTTGCCGTGACAACGAGTATTTATTTGCGAATCTGTCCGGCTGTGGACTATGCAGACCGCTGTTCTGGCCTGATTCAGTTAACAACACCTGTCTACCACTCCCGGCTAACTACATTCACTTCACTGGTACTTTTGGATTGGCACTAGCGCTCACCTCGGTGGTTGGACTCCTTGCCAACACTATACTAGGCGTCCTTTACATCAAAAATAAAGACAGGCAAGTCATCAAAGCCGCCAGCCGAGAACTGAGCTTTGTCATGCTGTTCGGAATCCAGTTCAGCTTTCTGGTGGTCTTTGTTCTAATCAACAAACCGACGTCGACGACATGCACGATTCTACACATCACCGTTCAACTGCCATTCACACTGATTTATGGACCACTGCTGCTGAAAACCAACCGCATCTACAGAATATTTACACAGGGCAAGAAATCGAGAGTAAGACCTCGCTTCGTGAGCCCAAATTCCCAACTAACAATATTAGTTGGGCTTCTTCTCGTACAGGTACGCGTATACTAGATATAGTGGATACTAGACATAGACACCATATTTTACTGAAATTGAGAATCTCTAGCTTAATCCTAAGCCTAATCATTATTATCGTAATAACAATCATAATCATAATAACAATCATAATCATAATCATAATCATAATCACAATCATTATCAGAATCATAATCGTAATAATATTAATAATAATAATAATATTTATTAATTTATATTGCGCACGTTACATGCAGATATGTTCACGTGCGTATTACAAAGACTGATTATAAAACAGCGGACTGCAAAATACTGTAAAATATAGATATTTAAATTACGATAATCCTATAACAATTCCTGATTATAAATAGCGGACTGCAACATTGTAAAATATAGATCCTAAAAACGACAATAATATAACATTTTCAATAAAATAGAACTCAAATCAAATGTACACCTAAAAATATAATGTCTATGTGTTAAATGCAATGTTAAATAGATGAGTTTTGACTAGGCGTTTAAAAGATTCCAGCGACTTTTCACATCGAATATGACTAGGTAGCTTATTCCATAATTTTGGGGCAGCTGATGAGAAAGCTCGATCGCCAAGTGTAGCCAACGTTTTTACAGCTGGTGGCTCAATTAACATTTGGTTAGCAAAGCGCAGACTGTACCGATTAGGTCTCTTTAATGTGACTAATTCCCTGATATAATCTGGTGACATACAATGTAATGCCTTAAAACTGATGAGTAGTATTTTAAACTCTATACGGAAATAGACTGGCAGCCAATGCAAATGATATAAAACAGGTGATATATGATCAAACTTGGATGCATTGCAGATAAGCCGAGCAGCTGCATTTTTGACTTGCTGTAACTTATTCAGTTGTACCTGGGGCAGCCCATAAAGTAAACTATTGCAGCAATCAACACGACTAGTAATTAATGCGTGAATTCGAATTTTTGTTGATTCCGTAGAAAGAAACTTTCGGATTCCTCTAATATTATGAAGATGGAAAAATGAAGTACTGCAGAGTTTGGAAACATGAGTCTCCATCGTTATCCACGAATCAAACCAGCAACCCAAATTGCTGGTCACGGATACTGGCGAAATGTTACAACTCCCGACTGTGATAAGATCAATGTCCGCTTTGCACAGTTGTTGCCGAGTGCCTAAGATGAGGAATTCCGTCTTGTCGTCGTTTAACATTAGCCGATCAGCAAGCATCCAGTCACGGATATCTTTTATACAGGTTTCCATCGCAGAGACAGCCTGTTCCTGGATGGCAGCAGAATTTGGATTAAAGGATAGGTACAGTTGGGAGTCAATAGCATAGCAGTGGATATCCGGAAGATGAGCTTCAAATATTGAGAAAATTGTTGACGCATATATGTTGAAGAGAAGAGGCCCTAGGCATGAGTTTTGTGGAACACCCCACTTGCAGTCGAAGCTGTCTGATAAAGTCCCACGTATTGACACGCGCTGTGATCTATGTGACAAATAAGATGAAAACCAGTCAAGTGCTTTGCCCGTAATGCCAATTCTAGACTGAAGGCTCTTGAGTAAAATATCATGATCGACAGTATCGAAGGCAGCACTGAGATACAAAAGCACAAAGAGTGTAACTTGCTGGTTGTTCATGTTCATTAATATGTCGTTCTTAACTTTTAACAGTGCCGTTTCAGTGCTATGTTGTTTCCTGTACGCTGATTGCATGATCGGGAACAGTCCATTCACAGTCATGTGATTGTAAATTTGATCAAATACTATTTTCTCCGTTAGTTTAGACACATAGGTGAGATTGCTGATTGGGCGGTAATTTTTAAAAACAAGGTCAAGGCCCGGTTTTTTCAACAAGGGTATCACGAGTGCTTCTTTCCAGTCCTCAGAAAATGTAGCTGTATCTAAAAAACAGTTTACCATCTTAGTTAGAGCAGGTAATAGCTCGTCAATGCAATTGATAATTAATTGGGTTGGCATTGGATCCAACGCGCAGGTCTTTTTTGATGAATTGTTCATATAATTTTTAACTTGTTCCGGCGACAGTAGCTTAAACTCCTCGAATACAACAGTAGGTGCGTCGTTTCCGGTTAGTTCCACATGCTGTATGCTGCTGCTGCCGAGCGTTGTCTGTATGTCAATAATCTTTTGAACAAAGAAGTGCCCGATATCGTTAGCGAGCACAGACTTATCCTCATAATGCGGGTAACGGATATCTTCGTTTTGCTTTAATAGTCGTTTTGTAGCTCTGACCAGTTTTCCTTGATCACAGCTATTCGTAGCGTGAGTATAATCAGTAATTCATAGAGTAATCATAATCATTAACGTAATCGTAATTGTGATCGTGATCGTGATCGTGATCGTAATCGTGATCGTGATCGTGATCGTGATCGTAATCGTGTTCGTGATTGTGATCGTAATCGTAATCATAATCTTAATGTTAATCTTTATCGTAATCTTAGTCGTAATCTCAATCCTAATCATAATCATAATCATAAACTTAATCATAATTTTAATCTTAATCTTAATCTCAATCTTAATCTTAATCTTAATTGTAATCTTAGTCGTAATCTCAATCCTAATCATAAAATACAATCCTATCTGCTATTTACCTAGCTACTATCTATATCATCTTTATATCTATCTATCTATCTATAACAATAGTAAATAGTCCTCTTATTCGTCCCCACCCTGTACATTGATTTTGCCATTCCCGATAATCTACCTTTACGTCTACTGTGACTGCATCTAAGATGTCTATCTCTCTATCTAGGGATCACCTATCTATCTATCTATGCTATCTATCTTATCTATCTCATCTTACTCTATCTATTCATTCTATATAAATATAATAATAATAATCGG